ACACTTATTAAAAATAATTCACACTTTGCTATCTTTGCTCCTAATTGCCTATTCACTGGAAATATCTTTTACCAACTTAGAGATTTATGGAATCAACAACTTCAATCCTTCTCAACTGTCCTTTTATATCAATTTAACTCTACTTCCATATACTATCAAATCTTAAGAATTAGACTTTTTCAGTTACAATCTAATGAAGGACTTCATATTTCTCCCTTGGTATGCTGGAATCGGCCATTATGATAAAGAAATACAAACTGATTTTTCTCAATCAATTTTTGGCAACTGATGGATTCTTTTTACTCTCCTGAGTTGAAATAATTAGCTGTTCTTACTACTCTACTATTTTACTTTCTTTTCTTAAACTTCCTAAAATTTATACATTGGTTTCTTCTTTAGTCTTAGATAGTCTTGATAATAATATAGTTAAAAATATTTATAGATTAGCTTCTAAAGTTTATTTTTTTCTCCAAGTTTAGATGTTGATATTAATAGTAAAACTAGAGAATTTGTGTCAGTTTTTCACATCCAATCAAATCGACCAATCACTGGAAGGATCCTAAGAAAATACCCTGCAGATAATTCACTGGCTTATTAACACTTAGTCCTTGCTTTTAATAACAATCGAATCCTTTCTTAACACGTAGAATGCTCTATTATTCCTTATAAAGGTTGTGATATTAACAATCCACAACTTTTGGATGTTCTCAAAAGACCTCGCTTTAAAAAAGGTAGCCCTTTATTGAAATCTGTCACATCTGTGCAGTCTTGTGATCCAGCTCACACTGTCATAATTAAAAAAGCTAAAACTTCACACTCAATCAAAGGTACAAGTATTATGAAGCAATCACTAAAAGAGATTCTTAATTCCCATAAATACTGATCACTTGGACGACATTCACTTAGAATACAACAATATCAGCAAATTGTTCCTGTAATGCCTTTGGTCTTACCTCCTATAATTCCCATCAACCATACGTTAATCAATGACCTTATTGAATAACCTTTTTACCGACTTCAACTCTAACAACTCTCTATTACCTTCTCAGATGTATTTTTTAATTGTAACAATCCACCTAACATTTACACTAATAGTTCATTAATGGATGCTACAACAATCAATAGTCATATGGGAATTGGTTGGATCTCTCCTGATTTACACAATCATGATCAATCCCTATAAATAATTAGTATAAGGAAAGTATACGGAAATAATACGTTTAATAAACATATAAAAAACGTAGACA